AGACAATTTGTGATTTATATTGGCCAATGTTATCACATTATTATTTATATCAAATAACATTTATAAAATGTTGGTGAAATCCTAGGACATATACTCCTCCAACATACTAAATCCTACAATTAAACAAGCAAAAGCCAAGAAGATGAAAAAGATTAACAAATCATGTTTCTGTTTAGGTGGCACTAAGCTGTAAGCCTCCCACCAATATAATCCTTAACTGTCACTCTCAAAGTAAACAGTCACTATATAATACAATGCACTGATATATTGAAAGACAAACTCTCTTGAAGAATTTAACAGAATTACAAGTATATCACTAAGGTAATAAGTTACTATGCATTGAGCCCTGTGGTCATATACTATTTAACCTAAAACTCCCATGAAATGGGTGTTACCATTTTACAGATCTAGGTTCTAAGGGGCAGAGAAATAAAATAATCTGACAGAGTTTTCTTCTATAGTAGAAATTCTTTGTAATGATAAATCATCAGCATTCCTGGTTTAAGCAAACCTAAAAGAGCAAAGTTTAACCTTGCCTAAAGGCAAAAGATTTTTATTTATTTATGCTTACAAGAACTGGGGTGTACGCCAGAGATGCGGCCAGGTAAAAGGATTCACCAGAGACAGAATGGGGACAATAACAGGCAGATCTACTGAACTACAGTGCTGAGGTGAGCAGCGGGCGAGTTAGGAGAGGTCTGAAGCACCATGTGCATTAGCTCCCTGGCCGGGGATCAAACTTATGTTGCAGTGACTGGCGACAGCATGATAGCACTGAGACTTTAACCCCTGCGCCATTAGGGAGGCCCCTACTTTTTGTTTTTTTAATGTTTTTTTTTTTTTAAATAATTGCAAAAACAACTCTGAGATAGTCTACCCTCTTAGAAGGGAAGCCATCAAATAGACCAGCTTAATGCATTACTCAGAGGTACTTAAAGGAACCATTTCATAGAACAGCAACAAGAATATCATGCCCAGTGGCACAAGACTGTTACCCTTTTATGTCCAGTAGTTGTACTGGGCTTAATCTCTGATCATGGATCAAGGTTTTCAAGAAATCACATCTTCCAATTTATCACCAAAAATTATCAGCATGCTGGGCCTCCCTGGTGGCACAGGGGTTAAGCACCACACTATGAAGCAATCCGCAGCCTCTGAAGCACAAGTTCAATCCCCAGCAGGCCTGGGAGCAACCCACATGGTGTAGCAGTCCTCTCCTGTCTTGCCCGTTGTTCCCCTCAACAGTGTGTTTCGGTCAATCTGCCTGTTCAGTTCCCCACTCTGTCTCTGGTGAATCCCCTCACACACACACCCCCACTTCCGCATCTCTGGCCTGTACCCCAGCTCTTGTATGCATAAATAAATGAATCTTAAAAAAAAAAAATCAGCAGCACGGGCCTCCCCTGGTGGCGCAGGCAGTTGAGTGCAGCGCTGTGAAGCTGTCCACAGCCTCTGCAGTGTGAGTTTGATCCTGGCTGACAGGCGAGAATCCCACATGGTGCCACAGACCTCTCCTATCTCGTCCGCTGCTCCCCTCAGCAGTGTATTTCAGTCAATCTGCTTGTTCTGTTCCCTCCTCTGTCTCTGGTGAATCCTCTCACCCTCCCCCACATCTGGCCTATACCCCGGTTCTTGTATGCATGAATAAATAAATAAATTAAAAGTCTTAAAAAAAAATATCAGTACTCTTTTATAATATCATGAATACCACCACCTCCATTGTTCCTGTTTTTATCCAAGCCACCGTGATTTGTCATTGGGCTTAAAGAATATCCATCATATCTCCCTGCTCCTCCCAAGTCTGCTACCTGATAGTCCATTCTCACAAAGCAGCCAAAAATATAAATTAATCAAATCATATCTTTCCTATTATAAAAACCCTTCAATGGCTTCCCAATGCACTATGAATAGACTTTAGTTCCTGTTTCCTGTAAGATCTGGCCCCTAATAAAGCTATTTCATCCATTCCTCTTGCATACTCTCTAGGCTCCAGCCAATAAAACCTTTCTGCCTCTCCCTAAAAAAGGCAAGCCTGGGCCTCCCTGGTGGCGCAAGAGGTTAAGAGGCAACCTATGAAGCTATTTGTAGCCACTGCAGCAAGAGTTCAATCCCTGGCTAGGGAGCTACCCACATGGCGTAGACCTCTCCTGACTCGCCCGCTGCTCCCCTCAGCAGTGTATTTCAGTCGATCTGCCTGTTCTGTTCCCCACTCTGTCTCTGGTGAATCCTCTCATGCTAAAAAAATAAAATAAAAAAGGCAAGCCCACTCCTTACTTGTCTGTCAGTCTTCCATAGTAGAATAAAAACCAAACGAGCAGAGTTATTAATGATGTGATTACTAACAACTAATATTGAGAAAAGTAGATGGAATGATTCTAAGTTAGGACTTTTCAGTTCCAAATCAAATGTTGTATTTTTAGGAAAATAGTATCAAACAAATAAACAAAATTCCATGAACACAGGGACCTTCTTTATTTTATTCTGATGTATCCTAGAATAGTACCTAACATATAACAACCATTTGTTGAATGAATAATGACACCACCAGCTAGATTGGCTATTCCTCTTACCACAACAAGGAGGACTCAAGTCAACCAAAACTGCTACCATCATACTCCTTTACTGCCAGGTAGCTCATCTCACAGGAAAGAATATTCATCCCCCTAATAAGCTTACTTCCCATATATAGAATGAACAAAGGAGAATTAAAAAAAAAAGGTCAAAACGGTACCAGACTAAGACAGTTTCCATTAAATTAAGATGCTCCTATTCCCCATATTTGTAATCAGTTTAAACTAACAGTCCCTGGATGGGCTATTACACCTGCAGGTAACGTTGCTCCCTACAAGCCACTATCATTTCTGACCCCTCTAGTGAGAGGGAGCACCATCCTTTTATCCTCATTCTCTAGATGGCGTTTTTTTTTTTTTAAATAAATCTTTTTTTTAAGATTTATTTATTTATGCATACAAGATCTAGGGTGTAGGTCAGAGGTGTGGAGGGTGAGAGGATTCACCAGAGACAGGGTGGGGAACAGAACAGGCAGACCGAGTGAAGCACACTGCTGAGGGGAGCAGCAGGCGAGACAGGAGAGGTCTGCTGTGCCATGTGGAAGCTCACTGGCTGACTGGGCATCAACTCGGGCTTCAGTGGCTGTGGATAGCTTCTTGCATCTTAACCCCCTGCACCAACAGGGAGGCCCTGGCTTTTTTTTAGATTTATTTATTTATTTATACAAGCACTGGGTACAGTCAGAAGCACGGGAGGGTGAGAGAATTCACCAGAGCCAGAGCGGGGAGCAGAGCAGGCAGAAGGACCGAAGTACACTGCTGAGGGGAGCAGCGGGCGGCAGGAGAGGTCTGCACGCTATGCGGGACCCTCCTCCGGTGGCCGGGGAGCAGTCGGGGATCAAACCGGCACTGCAGAGGCTGCGGACAGCTTTACAACCCAGTGCTCAACCGCTGCGCCACCAGGGAGGCCCGGCCCTGGCTTATTTTCTACTGATAATTAGATAAACCTACAGCACAGGCAGTAAGACGACCAAACTACTTAATTAAAAACTTGACATTAAAGATACAAAACAGCGGCCTCCCCTGGTGGCGCAAGCGGTTGAACATCACACTGTGGAACTGTCCACAGTCTCTGCAGCGTGGGTTTGATCCCAGCTGGCCAGCAAGAATCCCACATGGCGCAGCAGACCTCTCCTGTCTCGCCCGCTGCTCCCCTCAGCAGTGTATTTCGTCAATCTGCCTGTTCTGCACCCTGCTCTGTCTCTGGTGAACCCTCTCACCCTCCCATGAATATGGCCTGTAACCCAGCCCTTGTGTAAATAAATAAAAATTATGGGGTGGGGAAGCAGGGAGAGGAAGGACTAGAGTCAAAATGGGGGGGGGGGGATGCAACTGTATGGGATATATAACCATAACGAAAATGCATACATTGTGCAAAGATGAAAAATGACGTAAGAATTACATAAAATAAATTATTAGGGCCTCCCTGGTAGCACAGCAGTTGAGCGCTGGGTTGTGAAGCTGCCCGCAGCCTCTGCAGCACCGGTTCAATCCACGGCTGCTCCCCAGCCACTGGAGGAGGGTCCCACATGGCGCGCAGACCTCTCCTGCTGCCCGCTGCTCCCCTCAGCAGTGTACTTCGGTCCTACTGCCTGCTCTGCTCCCCGCACTGGCTCTGGTGAATTCACTCACCCTCCCATGCTTCTGATTGTACCCAGTGCTTGTATAAGTAAATAAATAAATCTTATAAAAAAAATAAAATAAAATATTAAAAAATAATTAAATAAAAATAAATAAATAATTTTTTTAAAGATACAAAATAGAAAGAATGAGAATGGTTCAGAAGTAGGAAAATTATGTGTATAAGATGGTGTGTCAACATCTTTAAAAATTAACTGAGAGGAGAGGAACTGTATCTTCATCTGAAGAAGAAGTATCACTTAGAGGGTCTCCCTGGTGGCACAAGGAATGTCAGCACTATGAAGCAATCCACAGCTACTGCAGCACCAGTTCTATGCCTGGCCAGGGAGCTACCCACATAGTGCAACAGACCTCTCCTGTCTCACCCACTGCTCCCCTCAGCAGTGTATTTCAGTCAATCTGCCTGTTCTGTTCCCTACTCTGTCTCTGGTGAATCCTCTCACCACAACCCCCGCCCCCCTACCCCTAACCTACACCCCAGCTCTTGTACGAATAAATAAATCTTTAAAAAAAAAAAAAAAAAAAAAAAAAAATATATATATATATATATATATATATATATATATATATCACTTTGAAAAGAGAAAAAGGAAGTTAGACGAGTATCTTATGGAGAGGCAGGAAAATAAGACCAGAGAGACAAGATATAGAATAAGATAAAGATCTCTAGATCAGTGGAGAAGGAAACCATTAGTAGTAATGCACCCACATTTCTCTAGAACTTACATTAATATGTAACATATATAATAGTTATCTTTCATGGGGAGAGGCGAATGAAGGTTTACATACCTTACAAATGTGCTGCAAGAACCACGGTGTATATGGCAAAAGTTCTACAGAATCCCTTGAATTTTCAGATGAAAGGCACTAAAAAGTTAAAAAAAAAAAAATCAGGAATTATGTCTCCTCATTTTATAAGGAGAGGGAAAAAAAAGCACAGGATGTAAATGGACTTATCCAAAGTTCCATGAAGTAATTAAAGAGTTCAGCGAGGGAAAAAGTATAGAATTCTTAAATGACACACCATAAAACTTACATTTATATAAACCTAAGCTTCCCTCACTTAACAACATTCATAATCAACCTTACTTTCTCCACATAAACTAATGTTGCCCTTTTAAATGCAAAAATCAAATTGGATGAATACTATAATAATTTTCTAACATTAAAAAGAATTTAAAACATAGAGTGAACATCCATATCCCTACTACTAGACTGTGAGCATTTTAATGTCTTGTTTTATTAAGTTACATTTCTTTTAATACTGGTATTACATAGAAATTACAGGGTGAAAGGCAACTGTCAGAAAATCAATGGCTTAAAAAAAAAAGCTCAAGTCATTAAGTCAAATAAATTAATATTTTATTAATTTATTTAATGCTTATTGCTTAATAATTTAATATTAATTTCCTTGACTCAGTGACTTCATTTCACTTTTTAATATATTAGGAACACTTCTAATATTTTTGCCAGAAATCATCAGTATTAGTTTACTACTTAAAATGAGAAAAGACTCACATCTATTCCTACTTTCCATGAGCAATTACAGTTGTTTAGTATCAGATCACATCATTCTCCTGCTTAAAAACATTCAGATTTCTCACCCCAGAACTTCCCATGTCCTAAAGTCCCTACATGATCTAGTTCCTGTAAAACCTCTCTAATTTCATTTTAGCTACTATTTTCTCCTTCACTCCACTTCACACTTACTTTATTGGCTGCTTATGTTCTTTCCTTTTACATGAATATTAAGATACTATCATAAACATGATTAAAATGTTTACTTTACCCAATCTCTTCAAACAAAAAAAATCAGGCTCAATTTGGGACAAATTGGCTGTAATTTAACAGAGTGTATCTCCTATTTTGGTGATTATTAGGTATAAAAATGTATTCAGAGTCATCAGGAGGAAGCACCTATAAACTCAGACCAACACCCAGAACGAGCAGCTTTAATGCCTACCTGATTTTCAGTCACATGATTACCATAATTATGAGTATATAAGGCCTTCACTTAATACTACAGCACCACAGATTAAAAATGAGTCACTTGAAACAGAAACACTTGAAATAGGAACTTTATAATGATTACAAACTTTAAACTACCTTGGAAAATTAAGATTTAGTTTTCTCACAAATACTTAACAGTGAACATGTCTCCCGAGAGCAGAGTATAAACAAATTTAAAACTTAGTTACATTAATGTGTAGGTGCAGGAAAATTGAGATCCACTGGCCAGGTGCATTAAGGGATAAACTAAATGGTAATGGAAAAGGAAAACAGGGACTTTTTAAAACTACAAATTCATGGCTAATTTTTAAATCTAGTGAATATCTTTACCAGTAGCAGCTGTGATGCAATCAAACCCAAGTTATAATCTATGGAAACCCATCAAGTCCAAATCGATTTAGTCTTTCTTTTGAGTTAACATAAATCTGCCATCTCAAGGACAATGAAGTCGCAAAAGAGCAACTCAACCTCCTCCAGTCACTGCTTGGACTCCACCCCATGGACAGGAAACACCTGAAGATCTACCAGTTTTCACCCTCCTAATAACTTACACCTCCACATAACCAGGATATACTTTTAAAGGAAATTAACTGGCAAACAAAAAAGGAATCAGGACTATGAAAATACTCCAACAAAATCATCACCATGCACATAAACACAGGGAACTATTTACTTGGCAAATCCAGTTTCTCCCCAACCCACCTCCAAATCAATAGTCAAATGAGCCCCCTGCATACTGATAACAAATTAGTTTAACCTAATTATGTTGATTTTGGAGCAGGGGTGTCTGGGTCACCCTCTGAAAGAAGTTGGTACCTCAAGAAGACCCCAATACCTGCAGCAACCCTGTAAACATTTCCCCACATCAACTGCTTCAGGGTCATCCAATTAGAAAGGGCAGTGCTGTGAAAGTTAAAGAATTGAAATTTGTCTATAAAATAAAATTCCCAAATTCTATCAATATATGTAAGAGGAGAAAATATTTGAATGGAATTAAGTCCTAAATCCTGAATTTTAGCAGACTTTAAGCCTGAGGTTTGGGAGTAAATGAAGAATACCTTACAAAGAAAACAGTTCTGGCTTGCAGGAGACTATACATATGACCTTGGAAAATTTACTGAAGACTCTGGGACTCAGTTTCCTCATCTGCAGGTAGTGTAGAACTACAAGTCGTAAAGATTCCTTTCAGGTCTAAAATTTTGGATCTATTAAAAAATTGAATTTCCTATTCTCTTTTTCCTTCCAGTACATATTTTTATGAGAACAGAGGTTTTAAAGCTTTAGACTTTGACTCAAAAAGAAGTTCCATTTTATATTTTTTTTGTATTACCCCAAGAGCCATCAGTGCTCTACAAAAGTAGTAGTATCAAGGCACTTAATAGAAACACTTAAGTAATTTATCCTTTACAACTAAGAACTAGCCTTGTATTTTCAGTCCAATGTCACTTGTGCCAAATGCTCAAAACAGTATCTGTACCAATTTAACCATGTCCAAGGTGACGATCGTGAGTGAGCATGTTACAAACACATCACACATTTGGGTGTGTGACACTAAGTGGCTGAAAAATTCTCTGACCATACACCACTTTAAAGAATAGTTTTTAAAGTACTTTTTCCTCTTCAGATTTGGCAAGGAAGAATATAATCTGATTACACACCTGCAAGAAACATCTACTTCAAAAGACTATTAAAACAAAGATACAAGTCACCAACACGGGAAAAAATTTTAAATCCGAACTGTTAAAAGCCACAAGCGAAACCAACTCTAAGGTAAAAAGGATGTCAATTTTCCACCTTAAACTACTAACCATAGTTTTTGACCAAATCAACTTGAATGCGAAATGCTATTCAGTGGGAGAGCACTTCTAATTGATTTGAATCAGTAATTTAGGATAGATGCTTAGGTGATTCCTAAACAAGACACTAACTTGTTGCAAAACTGCAAGCACTCTATTTTGATGCAACATAGCTGAAATCATGAAAAAATCCTTTCCAACTGACCAACTCCGTTCTTTTCAATACCGAAGATTCCTAATCCTAAAATTTCAACACTACTTTTTACTTACACAATCTCCAACACTATTAAAAAAGAAAAGCTACCGAGACATAACTGGACTTCACCCAGTATAAAACGGTGATTCATATTTCATATTAAATGCAAAAGGCAAAATGGAGTTGTAAAGAGTTTCTTTCCCATTTCAACTCCGACAGCCACGCGCGCTTCGCGGGCCCGGCTCCGAGCCCCCGCCCTGCCCGGCGCCGCCGCGAGCGGAGAGGAAGCGCCGGGAACCGCGGGCGGGAGGCTTGGACTCCAACAGGCCTGGCCGGGCGGGGGAAGGGGCGCCGGAGGCCGCGGGCGCGCTTCCGGGGACTGCCCGGGCGGGGCCGCGGCTTCAGGACGCCGGACTCGAGCCCGGAGTCACGGTCAGGGTCCAGGGTCCAGGGTCCAGGGTCCCAGCCCAGAGCAGCAGGTGGGGCGCGGCCGCATCGGGGCCGCGGCCGGGCGGCCGGAAGAGTGCCGGGCGGGCGGGCCCGGGCGCCGCGGCGCCAGAAGGGACCTTTCTCGCTCACCTCAGGCGACGACTCCGAGTCCGGCCTCTCCGCGCCGAGGACGCCTGTCCGCGAGTCGCAAGCTCGAAGACTAGGGCGGGTGGCTGAGGAGGCGGCAGTGGACTAAACGAGGGAACCGACGGAGGACGGCGACGGCGGGCGGGGAGCGAGAGCGAGGGCGGACGGCTGCGGGAGGGCGGGGAGCGACGTGCGCGCACCCGAGTGCCCTGCGGGCTCGAGCCGGCCGCGGTCGCGTCCCCGCGCGCGCGCGCGCATTTACAGCTCAGCCCCGATTGCTCCGGAGTGCGTCCACGCCCTGAAAGCAAAGCGATTAACCAATCATTACAGCCGCGTGGGGCATCACGGGAAATCCGGGGCTATAAAAGACCTGGTTGCTATTTTATACTCCCCGAGTCACTCATCCTTTAAGTAAGCAGGGTGGGGCTGGGTGCGCGTGCGCAGTTTTAACACTCCTCCCCAAACTGCCAACTCTTCGCGCAAGCGAGGTGGGCGCTCTTTGCTTGGGTACGCGTGCGCAGTAACGGACTTGGCCCCGGAAGACACGACGCCTGCGCAGTGGGAACTACGGTGACAACCTCTCGGGTAGGGCGCGGGCCTGTCATGGCGGAGCCTTGGTCTGGGCAGTCTTTCCAGGCTCTACCCGCCACGGTGCTGGGAGCACTGGGTGCTCTGGGCAGCGATTTCCTGCGGGAATGGGAGGCGCAGGACATGCGTGTGACCCTCTTCAAGCTGCTGCTGCTGTGGTTGGTGTTAAGTCTCCTGGGCATCCAGCTGGCGTGGGGGTTCTACGGGAGCACGGTGACCGGGCTGTATCACCGCCCAGGTGAGGCTCCCCACCAATCTCCGTGAGCCTGTCGCCCCCACCCCCACCAGACTATATCACTGGGCTCCCCAAAGCCCCCCTAGACTACCATTTATCCCCTAAGATCCACATCAGAATTTAATGCTGTGCTCTGATCTATGCCAACAACCATTTCACTCCAGAAGCCCCAGCAATTCATCCATCATATAACTTTCTTTGAACCCCCACCAGACATCACCACTATACTCAAGGCTCCCACCAGACTCCACCAAACAATACCTATAACCTCTAACCTGACCCAGGCTAATGCCTGTTCAGATCCCCACCTCCAGTCTGCTGCAGCTCAGGATGTGTTCCTGCCCCCAGGTCTGGGCGGCCAGAACGGATCCACACCTGATGGCTCCACGCATTTCCCTTCCTGGTGAGTAAATCTGTTCCCAGCCTCGCCCCATGATTGACAGGCTGTGAACACTGTTATGCTAGAGACCAAGTAGGGAAGTTTTCAGAGTAGAAGTCCACTAGAATAGGCCTTTACAGCAAGATCCAGGGTCTTCAAATAGAATACTGTTCTGCAACCTGTGCAGTGGGTGGTATTATCAGTTTCAGAGCGATGAAGTGGCAAGTCTGGCAAGATGAAGTGGATTCCCTCTACTGCAAGTCCCTCAGTTGGAAAGGCAGGAGACTGTCTTTAGTGCACTGACTGGCATCATCAGAGTCCACCTCCTCATCTGTAAAACATGAACTATTAGGGCATTCATTCAGCTTTAGGTCACCCTAAATCCTGAGGATAGCAACAAACTAAATCTTTGTTCACAAGGGGAGCCAGACATTTATCTATTTATTTAGCATAGAACTGGGGTGTAAGCCAGAGGTGCAGGGCGTGAGAGGATTCACCAGAGAGAAAATTGAGAGCAAACAGGCAGATTTATTGAAATACACTGCTGAGGGGAACAGCAGGGGAGACAGGACTGCTGCACCACATGTGGGTTAGCTCCCTGGCCAGGGATCACAACTCAGGTCTTAGCCCTGATAGCGCTGAGACCTAACCTCTAGGCAACCAGGGAGGCCGGAGACAGACATTTAAAAGGGGAGGGCAGGGCCTCCCCGGTGGTGCAGCGGTTGAGCGCTGGGTTGCGAAGCTGCTCGCGGCCTCTGCGGCGCTGGTTCGATCCCCGGCTGCTCCCCGGCCACCGGAGGAGGGTCCCGCATGGCGCGCAGACCTCTCCTGCCGCCCGCTGCTCCCCTCAGCAGTGTACTTCGGTCCTTCTGCCTGCTCTGCTCCCCGCTCTGGCTCTGGTGAATTCTCTCACCCTCCCGCGCTTCTGACTGTACCCAGTGCATGTATAAACAAAACAAATAAATAAATAAATAAATAAAAACATGCCTCTATAAAAAAAATAAAAAAAAAAAATAAAAGGGGAGGGCAGCAGTGCAGATCCAAGTGCATCAGAGGCTTCTCCCATGACAGCCTCGCTGAGGACAAAGACCAAGGGGTGGTAAAGTGTATTTCAGGTTAATAGAATGGGCCCAGAGGCAAAAACAAGGGTGATATAATGGAAGCACAGACAAGGCTCTGATGCTGGAGCTCAAACATGAAGGCATGGAGGGACCTACAAAGCCCTATCCCAAGTCTCAGGGAGCTATTAAAGAATTCAGCAAGGCTGTAGCTAATTGGCCTTTATAACTACCTGATTCGTAGCAAGTAAGATATAGGGGCCCAATTAGCAGATCTGCCACTGCTGAGGTTTGTATTAAATGACTGGAAGTATGGGAACACCATTATAAGTCATTATAAGGGGAGAGGTGGCAGGCTCAGTGCTTGCTGTGGGAGCCCAGCAAAGAGGTCTAAATTACAGTGTGGCTTTACTGAGCCCAGCTCACTCCCCCAAGATAGGACTAAAGAGAGTCGTTATCAGGGACTGGTGTGTAGGCGATGAAATAACCCCTTTTTCTTCTCCCCACTTTTAGGGAAACAGCAGCAAATGAACCTCTCAAAACCCACAGAGAATAAGGAAAGGCAGCAGAGGGGTCTCCAGGGATATCACCAGGTCTTCTGGCTCCTACATTGGGTCCTGCTGTTGCCCAGACCCCAGAGACGACTGCAGGGGTGTCAGGTTGGGGGCAAAGAGTACCTCAGTGTTTACAGGGATTTATCTGCATTGCTCTTGACTGCCTCCAGCAGCTCCAGGTATTGGACAAATAGAGTTTGCCTCTACCCTATCTGGATGTCTTAAGAAGGCATATACCTTCTCTCTCAGGGGTCAGCAACCAAGTCCCTGGGCTGGGAAGGCCAGTAGTACATTTTCTGTCTTGCCTTTTTCCCCTTTCCTGAGATATGGGTCCATATAGATTTGTCCCTCTGAGAGGAAGCCTTGAAGTTGACCAGCTCTGGGATTTGTAAGGAATAGTTAGTGCTCCCCTAAGTATGAATTTAGTTTTTGTTTTATTGTTTTTTTGGTGCCAAAACCTAGGACCAATCCCAAACTTCTTTGGTTTTGCTTTATCAGTAGGAAGGTAGGAACATGACCTTATACTCTGGCTGCTTAGCTAGCCATTTAAGTATAAGGCAAGGGGCAACAAACACCCACCTTCATGGCACCAAGAGCTCTCCAGGTATAAACCAGGCTGTGGAAATTGTCTTTTCCCCAATCATCATACTCATATTCCTCTCAATGCTTCCTGGAGGGAAGCTGGGTGCCTGAAAGAGGCTGAGCCCCAGGAGTGACCTCCCACTGCTTAAGGGCCCATTAGTTGTGGGTTTATATTCCATCCTCTTACAGCAGTTAGTGCAGAGCAACTGCACAGGCCCCATGCCCTGCAGCATCACTTTCTATCTTGACTTGGAACCACAGGCTCATCCTAAGAGCCCACAAGCTCCTCCCTACTAGAACCATCTCAATCCCCAGGAACCCTAAACAGGGAAGAGCCACAGGTCAGGCCAGTCTGCCACTTCCACAGTGGGCCAGGAAAACATCCAAAGGTATGGGTGGCAAACATCAGTTCCTCAAAGCAGTGTGGCCTGGACCTGCCTCCTTCCCTGATAGTGGTACTTCTGTCTGCTTCTCCTGGGCCACCAGCTACCTCAGTGTTGCACTGCCTGCATCCTCTGTTCAATGTCCTGATTCTACCTGGTAGACTTTGCCTATACTGTCTTTGCAACAGAGACTGGAAGTAAGACTAACACTGAACTCATGTATATGTACCTGTTCCAGAGATATCTTCAGGCTGGCAGGATGATGATTTCGTAGCCCCAGACCCACCCACTGATACTACCACACAGAATTAGGGCTTTACATTTCATCCCATGCAAAACTGAGGGTATGGTTTATTAAATATGGAAGTGCATCAGTTGTGTGGTTATTCAGACAACGTAAGGGTGTGCATGCACAGGGAAAACTGGAGAGGACAACCTGGGGGCTACTGTCCCCCCACCCCGGGAACCTAGAATGCAATGCTTTGCATAGATGTCAGTTCCCTAGAAGGGTGGTAAATGCCAATAGGGGCAATATCCCCACTAGTTCTTAAAAGACCTAGCCCCTCTAAGGTCTCAAGGCCAGGGAAGAGGACTGGACTGGCACTCCAGGAACCCTGTGGACAAAGAACGATGATGCTAGAGACAATGGCAAGAAGGAAGCTCATTTAATGTACTTTAGGAATCAGTGGAGGTCAGGAATGGTCCCCGGGGGTGATGGTCAGCCCAGGGTAAAACAAGTCCAGAAAGAGGTTCAGCCTGCCCTATAACAACATTGGGGCTCAGAACAAGTGGTAAACCTGGCACTGTTTGCTACTGGGCAACAGGCTGGACCAACTTGGGAATGTGGAAGAATGAGTTTGTACCCCCTTAACCATCCCAGAGTTTACATATAGGCACAGCAGTCCAACTGGACCAACCCTCTGTGAGTCAGGAATCATTCCCAGGGAGAAGCAACAGACTGAAGGTGGCCAGTACTGCCCAGGTAGTAACCCTTTGCATTGTGAGAAACCATGGTGAGGTAGGTTGGGGAGCCATTATTCTCCCCCTAAAGATGAGCCTTTGCTCCACAGCCAGCAATTGACCAAGTAAGAGAAATACCAGAAGTGGTGCTTCCTATAGCCTTCCAGCAAGTAAGGATGAGACTGGTGGGAGCACAGGCTAAAACAGGACATTTGGTGAGTTGGTCCACTACCCAGAACTGGGTTCTGAAGTTGAGTAGTATGGGAGGAGGGGGAAACAGCTGGTATGGCCATCCTGAAACACAACCAGAACCAACCTCTACTCTAGCCACCACCTACCCCAGGTGTGTTCTGCCTAAGCTTCCTGACAAAACCCTCATAGAATGTTGTCCTAGGCTCCTGGAGGGGAGGGCCATGCCTTTATCCCATCTCACTTGAGGGTATAGTAGTTTGTGGGCACAAAGGGCATCTTGCTGACCACAGCCATTTGCTGCTTCCGCCGCACCTCTACCAGCAGCTGAGTACCTGGGCGACTGTACTCACAGGGCACATACCCCATCGCCACATTCTTCTTCAGGCAAGGCGAGGGGCAACCACTGGTCACAGTACCTGTCCAGGCAGAAGCCATGTATCAGTACTACCCTGCCAGCCCAGTGCTCCCACCCTCCTGAGGAAGGGACAAGGGCTGTCCAACTTCCCTGGTCCACCTACCAATCACAGTACCCTCTGTATTCAGGATGGAGCTGTGTGCCCGCATTGGAGCCCCCTCACACATTAACCCCACGCGCCTCCGCTGCACCTTGCCCTTCAGCTGTGGGACAATGACTGTGGCTCCCGGGAAGTCCTTGGCAGCTCGTCGGCGTTTCCCTGGAGTATAAAACACTAGACTTAAGCCACAGTCCATAGTCCCCTGCAAAGAAAGTCCTAGTTATAAGGAAAAAAGTAACATCCATCCAGCATCAACTACCCTTCATTCAGCTTCCCCATGCCCCAAATCACCCCTGCAATTCAGTCTGCCACCCACCCATCTCCTGCCCCCTCGTCTTAGAGGCCATGTTTTCCCCTCAGTTTGCAGAGAGTCCTCAGCTTTTAATGGGCAGAGCCTCTGTGGAATCTTCAGGGAATGGAGGCTCAGGGAGGCTGAATGGCTTGCTCCGGGCTGACCAACCTTGGCAGCAGCTAGAGGCTCGCCGGTCTCATGAAGGACCACTCCAACCCTCAGGATCCCATTCCTGAGTGCTAGCCCAGCTCACCCAAAGTCCAACTGAGGCTGCCTTCCACAGGCGTGGTATGTTCATCAATGTCATTGCCATACAGGCAGAGGCCTGCCTCTAGGCGCAAGCTGTCCCGGGCAGCCAGCCCTGCCAGCTTCACCTCTGGATTTTCCAGCAGAGCTGTTGCCAGATGGACTGCACCTGCTGCCGGCACCGAGATCTGCATGGGACACAAGAGAGCAGGTGTGGATAACTGGCCCCGTGCCCAGTGCCCCACTCTACCCTGCACCCACTTCTTAACACACCTCCACGCCATCCTCTCCTGTGTAGCCACAGCGCGTCACACGACAGCCAGACACGCCAAACACCTCCATCACAGCGCTGGTCATGAAGGTCAATTTCCTCAAGTCATCTGCCACACCAGCCTGTAGCACCTGGGCCGCTGTGGGGCCTGGGCACAGGGAACCAGTGACCAAGTTTCCAGGCCCCAGTGCCCCTCAAAGCTGAACCATAGCCCTCACTCAGGGACTAGAACAAGTCCTGAACAAGTCTGCAGGTGAGAGAAGACACTCTGGCCCTCAGTCTATAGAGTTTTGTGGCAGGTGGAAGGAGGACACAATACCAAAGTTAAAAATGATGGCAGACTGTTCTGTTCCCCACTCTGTCTCTGGTGAATCCTCTCACCCCTGCACATCTGGCCTGTACTCCAGTTCTTATGTGCATAAATGGATAAATCTTTTTTAAAAAATTATGACAGAAAAACATCACACCATCCACCCCTTCCCCTTGATATGGCCTCTGTGCTAAGCAGTCGAGGAAATCAGAAAGGCAAAGGTCAGCTCCAACCGAAATCTGGCCCACTTACCTTGTAGAGCCAGCAGGGCATTATCCACCACTTCCAGGCCCACATCACTGCCCCTGTTCTGAAGCTCTCTGACCGTGTCCTGAAAGGAAAGACAGAAATACCACATCAGCTTCTGGAACCACTTACTGAGCACCTCCCGTGTGCCAGATACTATAGAGCTGGGCAGATTAAGCCGTTTCCCATCTTACAGGTTAATGTAAATACTAAATGATAGGGCTGACCCAAGCCCAGGTCTGTCAACTCTTACATCAGGCTCTAGCACTCCACCCTCACTTAGAGGCCAAGGTCAGCTTCACCTCCTACCTCCCCCATTCCACCCCTCTAAAACTTGATATGTTTCAGGAAGGACCTGCTCTGACCTACTATTCATTCACTCAGGGAGTCATTATCTGAACTCCTTGTCCATACCAGGCCTGTCCTGGATAATAAGGATACTGCTCTTTGAGCAAGGAAGACAGAGTACACAGAACACAGGGGGCTGTACCTGCATTAGGGCCAAGTCCTTGTCTCGGCAGCCAGCATTGGACACCACATACAGGTACCCCTCAGAAGTGTTGGTCACAATCAAATCATCTAAGATGCCTCCAGCCTCACTGGTAAACAGCGACAGTGTCCCCTGGTATCAAAACAGAACATCTTTGCCTCCAGGTCCAGGAGGACAAGGCTCAGTGTGAGCCAGAAACACTCTTGTACTCACTCAGCCACCACAAACTAGTGAACCCTAATGATAGAGCTGCAGTTATGCAAGGTGCAAGGCTGAGTCCAATCCCAGGGTCTTAGATTCTCAGGCACTGAGAAAATTCTCACTCCTACCCCACTCTATGATCTGATGGGGCCTCTATACCCTCCCAGTCATTTCTGAGAGTCCTACCTCACATTTAACCCATGACTTGCTGCTTCAACCCACCCAGACCTTCCTTGAGACCCATGACAAGAGCTTCAAAGTTCATCTTGATGACTCATGTGCTCCATAGCAGTGCCCCCAAAATATTGTGCAGCTGACCTCAGCAGCCACCTGGGGATCTTGTTAAAATGAAGATTCTAGTTCAGCAGATCTGGGACAGAGCCTGAGAGTGTATTCCTAACAAGATCATAGTGACAAGGAGGTGATTTAGGGAGTACACTTTCAAATGGCAAGGAATTAGGCAGCATGGAAGGTGATAGAACGGAACATAAACCTAGGTTCTGGCCTCCAAGCTTATTGTGGTGAGGACAGGATAGCCAGCCTCCTCACCCCAACCCCCACCTGGCTGTAGGTAGGAAAGATGGCTGGGTATCTGGACATGATTGTGGGACCCTGTCTCCCGAGACTGTAAATCCTGAGAAACTGTGATCCACCTGTGTGTCCCCAAGCCCCAAGTAGGTACTCAGCCAGCTTGCTGGCTCATGACTTAAGAACATCCAATGAGCAGAAATAAAAGTAAAAGGGCCCACCTGGTTTGGTCTTAGCTCTGCAATATCTCCAACCACTAGACTCTCCATCAGCTTCACCCGATCACAACCAAATATCTTGGTCTAAGAAAGAGATCAGAAGTTTCCAGCAATCTGGAAGACCACTGGGCAAGGTGGCATCCTCCATGCTATGCACAGCATGGTTAACCCAGCTAAAATGCATAAGCAGTCTTTTGGTTCTACAGGTGGCAGAAGCCCCACCTTGCAATTCCCCCATAGCCACCTACACAGGATGGGGCATACTGAGGGGATTAGAGAACTTAAAGGGACTGGCACATTCCTGAAAAGCTCCCTTTTCCAAACCAATACCTAGGACAGTAGATGAGAAGGAGTGCCAGTCCTGGAAAATCCAGGATATTAAAGCAAGCCACTAAGTGGAAGCAGCTGGAGAGATAAGAGGGGATGCTCATGAGACCCTCTGAGCTAACTGGGGGCATAGTCTGTGACCCCGAGACTTCCAACTGTTCCGAGGGCTGTCCTTGGAATCCAGTTCCCAGGGTTGCGCAGCCTGAACAAGGAGAAAGCCCTGGCTCACCTGCAGCATGTGAGACACGTCAAAGAGGGAGCAGTGCCGGCGTGTATGCAGGTGTGACTCGACGTGGCTGTCCCGGTACTGCACAGGCAGACTCCAGCCTGCGAACGCCACCATCTTCCCGCCATGGGCCAGGTGGAAGTCATAGAGTGCTGTCCGGCGGAGCACATCCTGCAGGCGGCCAGGCTCAGAGCCACCGGGGCCCAGACCCCAGCCCCCCACCCCCGCCCCCTATGGTTGGCACCACGCCCCAGCACCCTCTATCCCACCTGTGAGCAACTGAACGGACGGCTCAGGGTCCAGGGGAGCGCCTGCAGAGGTAAGCCCAGACGGGCCACCATGCTCACAGCCTGCTGCATTGTTGCCCGCAACTGGTGCAGCCGGCACACACAGGCCACAACTCTGCCAGGCACGCTGGGAGATGTAGTCCGGACCCTGTTTGGATTCGTCTCTCTCTGGCAAGGGGTATCAGAAGAGGGGGCGGGTAGCCCCGAGGGCAGACAACCCCAAGGGCAGGCGGAGCTTAAGAGCACCAAGTGGCATGTCTCTCAGGTGCAGGGAAAAGGGAAAACAGCCGCAGGCACTTCCAGCAGATCAAGGCAGATAGAGCAGCCAGTTAGATGGCTCAGAATCAGGTGGGGGCTAGACCTCCCCCAGCCGACTGCCCATCCTCCAAAGGATCAAAGTTCTGCAAAGGGCTGAAAGGCCTGAATCACCCTTTCAGGACAACAGGAGTATTAAATCAAATGGAGGAGGGGGGAGGGAAGGGAGATTACACAGGAGGGAGGAGCCAGCCTGGCACCACAGGAACCTGGGCTTTTGTGAGGGTCTCCAGCTCTCCCACTGGGCAGACACAGGCAACCAGCACAGTCATGCATTCCACAAGTATTTATTGATCTTGCTGCACACTAGGCCCTGGCGACACAGCTGAATGAAGTACAGCCCCTAACATTCTAGGGACCTCCCTCTCAGTACACACTGAGAGCCCCGGCTCGCTGAGCACAGGGCTAGTCATTATTTCCTCCGCAAAAGCTGAATGAGGCTAAGTAAATGACCAGGCAGGCAAAGATACTCATGGGTGACAGCAAAGGGTGCCCAAAAGGTAGCTGCCCTTCCTCCAGAAGGCCTTGTGTGTTCAGTCACACAATGTGCAATTGTCCAGGTCCAATGCATGTTGCAGTACTGCTTCATAATAGCTCCTGGGGACAAAGCCAAGAAAACCCTAAGAGAAGCAGGATTTTCTTGTAAGAACAGTCTGCCTTATTCAGTGGCTGGCGTGGGGTTGTAGAGGAACTCAGTCTCTTAAAAGATACCAATGAGAACACTTCATCTGAACCCCTTCATCTCCTCCATCCCCCCAACCCCCAAGTTTATCCCTTATCGCTCTGAGCATGACTCTTGGAAGCAGGCAACTGGGAGAAAGGACAAGGATGTGCTTTGGGCTGTGTCAGATGACAGATAGGTCTCAGGCCCGTCTTGCCAGAGGTACCTGCCAACAAGTGGGCCATCTGAAAACCCATCCAGGAGCCAGCTCAGGGGACAAGAGAATTTGGCTTTGATCCCTAAGCATGCAGCAGAAATTTAGATAGGAATTTCTTTTTGTGGGCATAACATGAGGGAAAAGAAGGAAGAAATGAGGTTTCTTTTCTCTCTCAAGCTTCCAAATTACCAGAGTGGCATGGCTACAGTAGCTTCCCAATGCAAGGAAAACAGAGCAGGCTCTAATAGGTCACCAGCCCACTGTACTCAGGATAAGGGGAGCAGGCAGAAGACAGGATGTGCATGTTGGCAGGAGGGGTAGAGGGCACATGAAAATTCTTAGTAAGTATAACTGGAGTGTGTTTAGGATAGAAGAGATGAATCGTAGTTGGGTGAGGACAGCGTGTACTCCCACTAGGAACTCATGCTGAAGTAAAACAGTGAGCCCCTAAGAATCTTGAATCTGTGATATGGCCCAGACAGAATGGGCAAGCAGGCAACATTTGGAATGCCCAGGGAAAGCACTTCGTCCTCTGGTGGCCCAAACCAGTCCTGGGTGGGCATGGAAGGCCAATGTCTTGGCTATGAGCCACAGCTCAAGTGTAGGACAGCAAGTTCAGGTCGTAACAGCCATCCACCTGCAACATAAAAGAGCATCAGATCTGACCCGCAAAGGGAAGTGATCTGACCCGCAAAGCCAAGCAGAGGGAAGTGATCACTCACATCAAAGCGGCCGATCCTTGTGGAGGTGTGACTGGCATGGATCATCTCTGTCAGCGCCCACATCTGCTGCACCTCGGAGGATACCCTGCTGGGGTCTGGGAGACCCTGCTCCAGAAGGAGGGGTCAGTGGCCATGGGTCTTTCCCCAGCAGTGCCCTTAAAGCTCAAGAGAGGCCACATTGGGCTGTGGGGCCCTCCAGCTGACACCAGTAACATTCCCAGGTGACTTGTGAACATGAGGTTTGGGCATGATGTGCAGTAGGTGGTCCAGTCGCACACAAAGATGCCTCAAATCTTATGGAGCACCCAGGAGGAAGGTGGCAAAGAGTCAACCAAGAGCCCTGGGTCCAACCCCAGATTCTTGCAGAAAGGGGCTCGCCTGGGTCTTTGCTAGACACCAGGGCTATTCACACACAGTTCTTACCCAGGGTGAGGGGCTTACCTCCAAGAGGGGAGTAGGCTGATCAAAAGGTACTGGGTGGGAGAGCCACTTAGGGAAGGTCACAGCGGGGCTCTGCAAAGCAAAAGCAAAGGAAGAGTAAGGGAGTCCTGTGACCAAATTCCAAGTTCCTGGGAGCAGAGGGAGAGTCTCAAACACTGGGAAAACCCTGCTCAGGGGTCCACAGAGGCCCAAGGGGCAATAAGATCACCTAAGCTCTTTTGCTACACAGGAGAACCCAGGAACATAAGGAACAGGAATATCTCCTGGTACCTGATGGCCCCAGCTCTGAAAGAAGTGGGTGACCTTAAAAGTCAGGAGATATAGAGACATGGTCTCACCTCTCATCATGAGCTTCCAGCACTCCCACCTAGCTTATTTCCATGAAGGCATCCTTCTGAGTTTCACCATACTTACTGGTCCACTGGCACTTCCACCCCCAGCTCTCCCAGCCATAATTGGGAAAGAGCCAATCAATGGTTCTGAGCTAGTCACTTACCTTTGGTCCTTGTTGGTAGATCTGAAGTTCCTCCACTGTAAAAGACAGCCACAGTGGCGATGGTTGTCTCAGAATCAGGCGTAGCTCCAGTACGCTAGCCATGTCACACAGCATCTAACACACACACACACACACACACACACAAAAGGACTAAGTGAAGCTGGTAAGCTCACTTACCAGAAGCCTCCCAACCAGCAATGAGCCAAGAAGCTACCTCCCCAGGCCTTTAGGAAGGAAAGAACAGCATTCTCTCCAAGGTCAAAGGGCCACAGACCAGGCCATCCTTGGCCCTCCTCTTCCCTCCTGGTCTCCTGGCTCAATCCCCAGGCCTCTGTGAGACTTCATCTGGGTTTCCCTGATTATGCTGAGTCCCAGCTGACCTGGTGCTTGTACAGTGATACATACTCCTGGGCTCCCTCTTCACTGTGTGGGTCAGGCATCAGACAATAGTTCCGTAGGCAGGTCACCCACTTGGATGGTGTGTGTGTCAAGGTATGCTGGCGAACACGGATGCTCAGAAAGGCTGTGTAGTAATTCTTAAACATGATCTCCTGCAACTAGAATATACACAACTGCCATGACAAATCAGACCCAGGTCCAGGGCCTGAGAGGCTCAAAGGCACCATCTCCTCCTCCCCTTTGGAATGGTCTCTTCTACCAACCCAACAATTTCAAAAAGCATCCACTAGGACCAAGAAAAATTTTGCTTTCCTAGAAGAGCTCACAGTCTAAATGAGTAGATCATACAAACAAAACACAACTGCAGAACTTGCCACATGTCCAAGATGCTGCCAGAGGTCAGAGTCCTAACTCTGGAGGAGGCAGAAAATATACACATGAGGCTTGAAGGAGGAAAAGTTCACCCAATGGATCAGGAAAGTTAGTGAGTGTGAAAGCTGCATTTACACAGGCACACAGAAATGTGAGAGGGCTTGGCAGATCTGTTAACAGCAAGTGAATCAGTATACCTACAGCAGTTTTCATCACTGGACACTTACCAGAATCAACCAAGGAAGTATTTTTTAAGATATAAAATATCTTGTATCTCCACCCCAGACCTACTGAATCAGGATTTCCAGGGTTGGGCCCTTTAAAGAAGTGTCCCAGCTAAAGCAAGGAACAGCTTTGGGAGAAAGCACACCTCACAAGACAAAGTGCAGGAGGCTGAATGGCAGGCAGGGCAAACAGAGTGGCCCTGAAAGTGCCACTTAGCAAGTGGACTTTGCTCTCTTTGTTGAGGGCCTGCAGGGTCCAGTTATTCTGCCAGCTGATTTGGAAGCTGGAGCGTCTGGAAGACCTAATGAAGGATAAGATGAATCTAACCTCCCACAGGAACTATTGAAATGGGCAAGAGGCAGGTTTGGGGCTACCTACCAGTCTAATGCTTCCCAGCCAGTGGCCAGAACCTACCTGATCTCTCATCTCTATCTGGTTCACAACATGCCTTGGTCTAGAACCCAGGGCAAGAAGCTGCATTCTAGTAAATGTGTTAAATGAAGTAATAAATAAATGATTAACTGATTCACAAGGGCAGCACGTGGTAGAGGCTTTTAATGAAAGATTAAATACCTAGAGACACGCCCTAGTCCCAGGTAAGCCCCGCCCAGGAGCCCCGTCGCGCCCACGGGGCTAGCTCACCTCGAAGGGCGCGACGCTGGGGAAGGTGACATCGATGACCAACACGCCGGGCCGGCCTTGGGAGGTCCGTACGTCGCCCACCTGCAGGGCCACGGTGCCTTTCACATGGCAGGGCACCGAGACGCGGGACATGATGCTAGCGGCCGCGACCAAGCACAACCGCCGCTCCTGGGCTAGGACCACTGGTCCTTTCCGGCGTCCCAGCAGAAGCCCAACAACTACAACTCCCGGCAGGCCGCGCGCTACGCCAGCCCAGCCAATTACCGATGCTCAGGGTGGGTCAGGAGTCGGAAGTTCCTGAGGAAGTGTTCCTTCAGCCAATCACCTCACAGGCTCTGGGTACCTCCCGGAAACGGAGGTGCCATTCTGTTTCTAAGCTGCCCTGAACCTTCTTTACTTGTCAAGTCACCTTCTGATACTTCTGCCCGGGGTGGTCGTCAGTTAAAATATGTAAAACCTTGAGCGCAAATGGACATAGCGCCTGACCAACGTTGATTGCAAAAGTAGATATTAACACCATTTTTAATAGGCAAAGGATTTAAACAAATAATTCACAAAAGATCACCAATAAGCACTTGAAAAGATGCTGAATGTGATTATTCATTAAGGTAATACAAATTAGAACTCCCATACCCCCACTGAAGACTAAAATTGGGGCCTCCCTGGTGGCGCAAGGGGTTAAGACGCAACCTGTGAAGCTATCTGCAGCCACTGCAACTCCAGTTAGATCCCCGCCCACCCCCAGGATGCTGTGGCGCAGCAGACCTCTCCTGACTCGCCCACTGCTCCCCTCAGCAGTGTATTTCAGTCTATCTGCCTGTTCTGTTCCCCACTCTGTCTCTGGTGACTCCTCTCACCCCCCACACCTCTGGCCTGTACCCCAGTTCTTGTATGCATAAATAATTTTTTTTTTTTTAGGCATGTTTTATTTATTTATTTATTTGTCTGTTTGTTTGTTTATACATGCACTGGGTACAGTCAGAAGTGCGGGAGGGTGAGAGAACTCACCAGAGCCAGAGCGGGGAACAGAGCAGGCAGAAGGACCGAAGTACACTGCTGAGGGGAGCAGCGGGCGGCAGGAGAGGTCTGCGCGCCATGGGGGACCCTCCTCCCATGGCCAGGGAGCAGCCGGGGATTGAACCGGCGCCGCAGAGGCTGCGGGCAGCTTCGCAACCCAGCGCTCAACCGCTGCACCACCAGGGAGGCCCTGCATAAATAAATTAAAAAAAAAAAAAGATAAAACTTACTATGTCTGGCTTCCAACGCAAAATAACAATCATGCAAAGAAGCAGAAAAATATGACCTATAATGAAGAGAAAAATCAAATAATAGAAAGAGGCCCAGAAATAAAAACAGACACAGATAATAGTAGACAAGCCCATTAAAACATGAACATAATATCATAATATTCCATATGTTCAAGAAAGTAAAAATACTGAGTATGTTAGATAGATAGGGATGGATGGATAATATAAGGAACTGATTCATGAGATTATAGAGGAGGCTAAGAATTCCCATGGTCTATATTTTAAGCCTGAAGGGCGGAGAAAGGGGAAGCCAATGGTGTAAATTCCAGTCCAAAAGTTGGCAGGCCTCAAGACCCAAGAAAGCTAATTTTGTAGTCTAAGTACAAAGGCTGGAAAAGACCAATGTGCCAGCTCAAGTCAGGCAAGAGGAGCTTATTCTTACCTAGCTTTTTTGTTTTATTCAGGCCTTCTCATGACTGGATAAAGCCCACCAATATTAGGACAAAGTGCTTTACCCAACCTATTTAAATGTTTATATCACCCAGTAACATGCTTACAGGTATATTTCCAGAGTAACAGTTGGGTAAATATCTAGATATACTGTGATCCAGTCAAGTAGACTTATAAAATTAACCATTGGAGTATGTTTTTACACTTCTACCTATTCTATTGCAACATACTGGGGCAACTGAACTTTGCACTCTGGGGCCCTCAGGGCAGCTGTCCAATTGAAGGACTATACTCCACCCCCCTGACTTCTGGCACCACCCAAGGTGGAGGAGAGGACACCCACACAGTGCCAAGGTCCAAACTCCACTCCTGAGCAAGGAGGCTGCCGGGAAGGGGGCAGAGCCAAGCATTTTTACAAGTGTTAAAAAAAGGTGCAATGGGGCCTCCCTGGTGGTGCAAGGAGTTAAGAGTCAGCACTATGAAGCTATCTGCAGCCACTGCAGCACAAGTTTGATCCCCTGTCAGGGAGCTACCCACATGGCAAAGGAGACCTCTCCTGTCTTATCCACTGCTACCCTCAACAGTGTTATTTCAGTAGATCCACCTATTCTTCTCCCCATTCTGTCTCTGATGAATCCTCTCACCCCCTCCCCCAAACCTCTAGCTGTTACCCTAGCTCTTGTATGCATAAATAAATAAATCTTTAAAAAAAAAAACAAAAGGTGCAATGGACATGAGCCCTCTCTCCTTTCTCTTCAGAGCTGCTGTAGAAGGTAGCCACCCACTTGGCAGCAGGTCTTCATACTCCCCTCCCCCGGGCGGGGATGGAGGTGGGGGAGAGGCCCCTACCTCAGCAGCCACTGGCCTCTGTCACACCTTGTCAATTCCTGTAGCTTCAAATCTACCTCACCCCATTGATCAGTAACTGAACCTTCTCTCTCTATCCTGTTGGTTAGAAAAAATTATTTTGTTTTGCTTTCTTTTTTTTTTTTTAAGATTTATTTATTTATTCTTACAAGCATTGGGTACAGTCAGAGGCACGGGAGGGTGAGAGAATTCACCAGAGCCAGAGTGGAGAGTAGAACAGGCAGACTGACGAAGTACACTGCTGAGGGGAGCAGCGGGCAGCAGGAGAGGTCTGTGCGCTGCGTGGGACCCTCTCCCGGCAGCCGGGGATCGAACCGGTGCTGCAGAGGCTGTGGGCAGCTTCACAGTGCAGTGCTCAACTGCCTGTGCCACCAGGGAGGACCAATTTCTTTCCACTTTTTGAGTAACATCCTGGAGAATGTCCCACATATACACTTGACAAGAATGTGTGTTCTACTCTTGTTGGGTAGAGACTTATCTACATGTGTGTTAGGTCTACCTGGTTTACAGTGTTCAGGCCCTCAATTTCTTTATTTTCTTTCTTTATTAAATGATTCATGAGTTGGACAACACTCTAACTTGATACTGTACCTTTACTAGTTTTCTTTATTTTTAATTATGACTTCAAGTTACTGTTTAGTGTCCTTTCATTTAGACTGAAGGAGTCCCTCTAGCAATTCCTGTAGGATGGGGCTACTGCTGTGTTGTTGTTCTTAAATAGTTTAATTTTTTTTAATTTTCTTTAAATTGGAGACTCCCTGTTGGTGCAGTGGGTTGAACACAGCGCTGTGAAGCTGTCCGCAGTCTCTGTAGTGCGGGTTCAATTTCCAGCCGGCCAGGGAGAGACCCAGAAGGCACGGCAGACCTCTCCTGTCTCGCCTGCTGCTCCCCTCAGCAGTGTATTTCGTCAATCTGCCTGTTCTGTTCCCCACTCTGTCTCTGGTGAATCCTCTCACCCTCCCACATCTGGCCTGTACCCTGGTTCTTGTACAAATAAATCTTTAAAAAAAAAATACCACTGTAATGAGGAAAGGAAGTACTTATTTTACAGTCAAGGTTGAGGGTTAACCAGGGAAATGCGGGCAGCTTGGTAGAAAGAATGTCCCAATAAGCTGCTTGGCCTGCCCACCACCCCCAGCTTGGATCCATTTCATTTATCTTTGGGATAGAGGAGCTATTCTTAACAGAAAAGGAAAAAAAAAATCACATTAAAGCACATAGCAAAATAACAAATCATTTTTTTTCTGGAAAAATTATAATTTTCTGACATCCTAACAGAATAGAAAATGCATACTCTAATTCAGGGAACTGTTATCTCTGTAGCAGATGCCACCTGTGAGAAAAGCAAGAATTTAAGATGCAAAAGTCTATCACAGGAAAAGTCTTTGTTTGGATACGTGGACTTGTCTCTTCAAGTTGGCTGCCAGGTCTGCTGCATTTTGGCAGACACAGCCGCAACGTTTTTCACAACTGATCTTTTTGATATTTCTTTGTTATGGTGCCATCCTATAGATGATTCAAAATCTCTAGTTCAAGCTTTGCTGATTTTCTTCATATGACAATAATCTTTTGAATTGTACCTCTGACCCTCCTCTCCTAATTCTCCTGTGACACTTCTTACTCCCTGCTTCCACTACACTGGCCTCCACATTGTCCTCAGTTTCATGTGTTCATCTACCACTGTTCGTTTACTTTCTCATTTCTGTCACTCCTTAGCCGTGTGGGGAGAGTGGTAAGGGCGAGTCTTCCTTTCCCTCTAGGTTCTTCTAAATTGGATAATAATCAACATCAGGGCTTCCCTGGTGGTGCAAAGGGTTAAGCACCGCACTACGAAGCAATCTGCAGCCTCTGCAGCATAAATTCTATCCCCGGCCAGCCAGGCAGCAACCCACATGGTGCAGCAGACCTCTCCTGTCTCGCCCGCTGCTCCCCTCAGCAGTGTACTTCGGTCAATCTGCCTGTTCTGTTCACCAATTTGTCTCTGGTGGATCCTCTCACCCCCCTCATCTCTGGCCTGTACCCCAGCTCTTGTATGCATGAATAAATAAATCTTTTTTTTAAAATTGACATCAGATAGATGAACAAGAAAACAAACAATCCAAAAAAGTATACCTCCTGTATACATGGGAGAAGCCCAGAAAAACCGAGTAACTCACCAACATGGTTTAAGTCATCTCCTTTAATAACTTCAGCTAAAGACAAAGGATTTGCAGAAGGAAAATGGGAAGGTTAGCAATAGGAGGTTACCAGGAAAGGCACTGTAAACAAGGGTATAAAGGTTATGCACTTATCTTGTTGCCTTCTCCAGTAATGAATGTTAAAGAGACCTGGTCTTCCCAGTATGGTGAGGAAGACACTCTTCCAAGTCAAGATTTTCCTTTGTATAAGTAAATGTCTCCTATAAAAGGGTATCCTCTACCCAGCTTTCAGAGTCCCTTCTATAAAAAAAACCCTTATGGCAGAGACATCTCTATTTCCCTATTCCATGGACATTCCATCCCCACCTGATATCATAGTCCATATTTATTTGTTTATTTACTGTCTATAACAACATTCACTGTTCAGGGACCTCCCAGGTGGCATAGGGATTAAAGTCTCAGTACTATCAACCTATAACCAGCCACTGCAGCACGAGTTTGAT